TTCCAAAGTGTGCAACCTTCATTTCATTCAAAGAGGACACTAACTAATAAATTACAGAAAATAGATCAACATTTACACATCTGGACAACAAGGTTAGCTAATTAAGTTTGCACAACGTAACTCCTTCATTTGTAGTCTTTCGCAGTAAGGAAATTCAATTTGCTACTGTTTGATGCTCCAAAAGGTTTAATAGTCCTCCTAGGGCAAGATTTGAACTCTGAAATCTAATGGCATCAGAAATTCATATCATCATTTGCCATTTGCTTGAAAACAAATGTTAGATCATGAGGAAATTTTTTATATCAGAATTTAAGTCTATTCAAAAACAGAAGATAATAAGAGAAATAAACTGAGATTAAAAAAAGGTATTGTACTGACATTTGTAACTTTAATTCAATGTGCTACTGTTTCATGCTCCAAAAGGCTTAATAGTATGCCATAGAATCATGGGAACTCTGAAATCTAAGTGCATCAGATATTACTATCATCATGTGCCAGGTGCTTGCAAACAAGTGTTAGAAATTGAGTAAATGAGTTATAACAGTTTTGAAGTCTATTCAAAAACAGAAAATAAAGAGAAAATTATACTGAGCAGCAAAAATAAAAGTTGGCTAACCAAATTGGAAAACAAAATACACATCTATTAATGTTTTGGAATTGTAATCAAAACTTCAACACAATATATTGCAGGATAAATCTGGGAATAAATCCAATCTTTTAAATTTGTGTCTTTTCTGCTTCCCAATAGATGTAATCATTAATTAATAAAGTAATAGCAAATTCTAGGGAATTTCATTTTCCTTTAATGGTTTCCACTCACATATAGTCAGATATTCACATTTAAATGCAAAGTACACCATTCTTTTTCAATTACACCTTTCTTTTCAAATAAACTCACTACTGTCAAAAAAGAATTCACAAAGCACTGAGCAGTTCAAATCAATGAAGAAGTTAACAAAATCAACTGTAATCGGCACCAAAAGGAAGGATACAGTTTCAAATAAAGGTACGTTACTGATCAGAATTCATCAAAACTTATATTACTGTCACGGTTTCATCAAAACTTATCATGCAATTTCATACTGTGTATCCTGTTATCAATTTGTGTTTATTTAAAGTGGTGAATTAAAATCTGTAGAACAAGGTTAAGCATACAGTACGGTTAATTTTGTACTAATTATTCATCATCAATTCTAGGAAAGCTAAAATTTAGAGCCTGAAATTTCAAACAATCAAGTGCAACAGATAATAATAATATGCAAGTTTTCTTACTTCAATACCCTAACAATACACGCATGCAGTTTACCATACATAAATCGAATTGAAATTCTATTTACATCTAAATTTTTGGGGCAAAAATATTAGAGATTAGGTCAGCGTGAGTACGAAGGTTACTTACAGTCCTTCGATGATTTACCTCCATGATTTGAAAACCCTAATTTCAACATGGACGCAATTGCAAATGTCAACGACTGCGTTCATCCATAGCTCACTCAGACTCATTGAGGGTTTCTGTAGATTGAATTCGTAGAAACGACTAAGCCTCACCGTAGATATAGGGTTTTGCCCAATTCTGTAGCTATCAATCGAACCCCAACACAATTGCGTCGGATCTCTAATCAAGAAGAAAATTGCGAACATTATCATATTCAAGCTTTCGACGCCATTAGCGTCTATCGAATCTGGATTTATACAATAGATAGATAGAGTTTGGGAGAAATGGACAGAGCGAGAGGTAGAAGACAGGAAACGGTGACCGTGGTGACGAAGGGTGTCCAGAAAGCATATTTCTGGACCCTTCCACAGTTGACTCATACGTTTATATATATATATATATATATATATATATATATATATATATATATATATATATATATATATATATATATATATATATATATAGTATTGGTATATACTCCTTTTTGGTATATACTCCGTATATGGGAATGATTTGCTGTATTTAAAGGTATATATATATATATATATATATATATATACCTTTATATATATATAGTGAGAAAGAGAGGTAGAGTTTTAAGTTATGGTTAAATTCTATATTGGTAGTGAAATATACTATTTTAGTATGCTTATATGTACATATGTTTTTTTTATAGTACGATATTCATATCTGTTAAATTTGGTTTATTTACTGTGTTTATTATATTTAAATAAAACATTGTATTTCATTTAATTTATTGTTAAATACAATTGTTTGTTAAATCAATTTTGTTAAATAAGCATGTACATTTTAACTATATCTACTAAGATGATCATATTACTACTTATTTAATTATTGGTTTATAAGTATTTTCTGGTTTGTATGTTAGAAAATGATGGTGCGGAATATGGAACATTCAACACGCCAAAACGATTTGCGATTTTTGGTAATTAATTTCTTTCTATATTGCAATGTCGGTGCTATATATAGTGTACTATAATAATGTTAACATTTTGGATTTTTTTATTTTAGACAATTCAATTACAATAGAAATGTCAAGTGGTACATCTCAGATTACGTGTGTCAATGTAACACCTCAAAATAATAGCCGTCTAACTGGTACACACTACAGAACTCTTTCAGGACAATCTTTCAACGGATACAATGGTATGAATCATTATATATCTTTAAATATTGCCAATTGTTCTCATTATTGGATATGTTTTACTGTTTAATATATTTAATATGCTTAATTTATAGTAAATGATTAGAGTGTTATGTTTGGAGTATTTGAATTTGGGCAATTATAAAAAAAAAAATTCTACTTTTTCTATAATTTAGTGTATTTAATGTGGCAAATGTAACCCATATGCATTGCTTTATGATTAACTGTTTAATTTATTGTTTTATTGAACATAAAATGCAACATTCAAAAATCCGGGTGTAAATTTTTTTGGATGGTTAGTGCTTTCATTTTAAATGAAATGTCAGTCTGTTGGTATAGTGAGTTTTATTTTAATTATTTTTATTATACATATTAACGTGTGGTTTTTGTAATTTTGTTGTTTAGAGTGTTCGTATGCAATACAATCGGCAACTGCTAGATCTCAGCTGACATGTGTTAATTCAACATCTCAGACTGAAAAACGTTTAGCCAACGGAAAAATTAGAGGTCTTTCTAAACAATTTTCTACAATAAAAGTATATTTGTTTAATTTTGTATATTATATATTTTGAATTTGGATCTGAGATTTCAAACCTTTTTTTTAATAGTTTTACAAAATATTACTCAATCAACGACATCGCAAGCTAACGTGCTCGAAAGTAACCCTATTGTGTCCTATGAAAGTCGAGGACCTTGGCATATTCATACAAATGGTAAAATTTCTATATACATGATAAATCTTTTTAGAAAGTAGATTGTTATAAATCCATATATGAATATTAAACTTTCATTTCATCTTTTAGATCAAACAACAAGGTCGTGCGTTGTTGATTACAATATCTCATCACCAGATGTTTCAATGCAACGTGGTTTGATGTCAGCATTTAATAGTGTGGTCCATGATACACCATCAAAATCTACAATTGGAGATCGTGAGTATAGATACAATTAATTGTAGATATTATCTAAATTTGGAGTACTAACATTTGTTTTTTGGTTAGATTATTACAACGATCTGGGTGATCAAACGTACTCTTGCGAACACTGCGGAGCAATGTTTTGGTTAGAGGAGCGAGTTAATAAATCTAGCGGTGTTCGAAATCCAAAATATTCACTTTGTTGCAGTCATGGCAAGATAAAGTTGTCCCCTCCTAATATTCCACCTATGGCAATCAGGCAGTTGTTCTTTAACCAGGACCAAAAGAGTACCCATTTCTTGAAGAATATTCGGTCATTCAACAATATGTTTTGTTTTACATCCATGGGTGGGAAAATTGACAGGACTGTTAACACTGGTGGTGCCCCCCCGACTTTTAGGTTATATGGACAAAACTTTCACTTAATGGGTAGTTTACTACCACAGTCTGGTGGACGACCAAAGTTTGCTCAATTGTATATTTATGATACACAACATGAGATAGACAATCGTCTAACTTTATTGGGTAAGTTATGTACGCTTATTTAATTTAAATAAATGAGCATTGTTGCTTATATATTTAGATTATGAAATTGTCTTTTTTTTCTTGCCAAACAGGGATGATCATTCAACAAATACAATTCATCGTGAAATTGTGAAAGACATCAAGGATGCACTAGATGAAAATAATGTTTTAGTCAAGAGTTTTAGGATGGCGAAAACAAATATGGAAAGTAATCAAAGAGTGGATATTAAAATAAAACTCATTGGTAAAAGGACCACGGATGCAAGGACATATAACTTGCCACAAGTTGGGGAGGTTGCGGCATTGATTGTTGGTGATTTGGATCCAAACATGGGAGAAAGAGATATACTGGTGGAGTCTCAAGCGGGTCATTTTCAAAGAATAACTGAACTAAATCCAGCATATCTACCAATGCAATATCCACTACTATTTCCATACGGTGAGGACGGATACAGGGACGATATACAGTTTAATAATGTGCAAGGCCGGAGTTCAAATGCACGAACTAAAATTAGCCCAAGAGAGTATTTTTCATTCCGTTTGCAAGATCGGCTCAATGAAATGTCAACATTGCTATATGCTAGACGATTGTTTCAACAATATTTGGTTGATGCTTATACCATGATAGAATCAGGACGGTTAGTTTATATTAGGTCGCATCAAAAGTCATTGAGGTGTGAATCATACAAATGTTTTGACAGATGCACTAACACGTGGTGAAGTAGATCCTACTGCCAAGGAAAGCGGATTATTTTGCCATCGAGTTTTACAGGAGGTGCGAGATATATGGTGCAAAATTACCAAGATGCAATGGCGATTTGTAGATGGATAGGGTATCCAAGTCTATTTATTACATTCACATGTAATCCTAAGTGGCCTGAGATAGAAAGATTTTTACAATCAAGGAAACTGAAAGCTGAAGATAGGCCAGATATAGTTTGCCGGTGTGTTTAAAATGAAATTAAATGCACTGATAAAAGATATTAAAAAGGAGAAGATTTTTGGACTGGTGGATGCAGGTAAATTTTGTTATTTAATAAATGTAATTTTTTGCATATAATTGTTTTGTAGGCTTAAAAAAATAGACAATTTATTTGGGGTCTAATTTCACAGTTCCCGGTGTTTGCAGTTATTTATACCATTGAATTTCAGAAAAGGGGATTGCCACATGCACACATTTTGATATTCTTGAGCAAGAGTAACTCTTATCCTAATCCTAAAGATATTGACATGATCATATCTGCTGAGATTCCAAGTCAATTGTGCGACCCTGAGTATTATAAAGCAGTAGAAGAATTTATGATTCACGGTCCATGTGGTGCAGCGAGGAAGAATTCACCTTGCATGAAAAATGGTATTTGCTCTAAATACTTCCCCAAAAAATTTGTGGAAAACTCAACAGTGGATTTTGATGGATATTCAATATATCGACGTCGAGATAATGGTCGTACAGTACGGAAGAATGGTATTAACCTTGATAGTAGATATGTTGTGCCACACAATAGATATTTGCTTATGAAGTACAAGGCTCATATTAATGTGGAGTGGTGCAACCAATCTAGATCAATTAAGTACTTATTCAAATACGTCAACAAAGGGAATGATAGGGTAACAGCTGAATTCTACAATAGTGGGGTGGAAGAATCTACGGGGAAAATTGTAGATGAAATCAAAATGTACTATGACTGTAGATATATTTCACCCCCTGAGGCTGCGTGGAGGATTTTTGGCTTTGACATACAATTTAGGAACCCATCTGTTGAACGTTTGAGTTTCCATCTTCCCAATGAGCAATCAATAATTTTTCATGACGATGATTTGGTCGATGATGTGGTGAATCGACCAACAGTAGCTCAAAGCATGTTTACTGCCTGGTTTGAAGCTAATAAAAAGTATGCAGCAGGGAGGGAGTTGACTTATTCACAAATGCCAACAAAATTTGTTTGGAAGAGTGATAAAAGAGAATGGCAACCTAGGCAAAGAAATTGGGCAATTGGGCGAATCTTTTATGTGCCACCAAATACTGGTGAGATCTTTTATCTTAGGTGTTTACTTAATATAGTTCGTGGACCGACTTCATTTGATGAGATTAAAAAGGTGGATGGTGTTCAATACAATTCCTTTAGAGATGCGTGTTATGCCCGGGGATTAATTGAAGATGATAAAGAGTATATTGATGCAATCACGGAGGCATCAACGTGGTCCTTAGCAAGTTCTCTACGGAAGTTGTTTGTTACACTTCTAACATCCAGTTCGATGGCCAAACCAGAAAATGTTTGGGAGATGGTTTGGCCATTCTTATCAGATGATGCTGAATATGTTTATAGAAGGAACCTATCAGTCCCAGGTATATTTTATTTTAATATTATTATTAAAATTGCTGTTTAAAAGACTTACATCGTACATCTGTCTTTTATTTTGTAGATTTAAACATGAATGAATCTCAAAAAAAGAATTTTGCGCTGCTTGAAATGGAGAAATTGTTGAATGCTTGGAACAAATCTCTATCAGATTACCCACCAATGCCAATGCCAGATGGAAACAATGATTGGATTTGTGGTAATAGGTTGTTGTTAGAGGAAATGTCATATGATAGGGAAGCTCTAATGCATCTACATGATTTATTGGCATCCGAAACTAACTGATGAACAACTACTCATATATAATAAGGTGATTGGAGATGTTGAAAATGAGAAAGGTGGATTGTACTTCGTATATGGTTACGGTGGAACCGGAAAAACATTTTTGTGGAAGACAATTTCAGCTGCTTTAAGGTCCAAAGGAGAGATAGTTCTTAATGTAGCCTCAAGCGGAATAGCTTCTTTGCTGCTGCCTGGCGGTAGGACTGCACACTCCAGATTTGCCATACCGCTTGCTGTTAATGAAGATTCAACCTGCCACATAAAGCAAGGCAGTCCGCTTGCTGAATTGATAATCAAGTCCAAATTAATAATTTGGGACGAAGCTCCGATGATGCACAAACATTGCTTTGAAGCATTGGATCACACAATGCGAGACTTAATGCGGTTCAAAAATTCAAGGAGCTCAACAATGACATTTGGAGGGAAAACTGTGGTGTTGGGTGGAGACTTTAGACAAATCCTACCAGTTATTCCCAAAGGTACTAGACAAGATATAATACAAGCCAGCATTAATTCATCTTACTTGTGGAATAATTGTGAAGTTCTTCGTCTAACGAAGAATTTAAGATTGCGCGGTGTTAGTGATGAAGATGATTTGGAGAAGTTAGATAGTTTTTGCCAAGTGGATTGCGGATTTAGGTGATGGTAATCTTGGTGAAGACAACAATGTTGATTGGCAATATAATAATGCCGTCTTCCATTGTATTACAGAATGAGGTTGATCCAATAAAACAAATTGTGGAAAACACATTCCCTGGATACCGTTCTGGCAACATGGATGAAAGACAATTAGAGGATAGAGCTATTTTAGCTCCAACATTGGATGTTGTTGACGGAGGTCAATGAATACATGAATGGTATTAATCAAGCTGCATCAAAGGACATATTTGAGTTGTGATTCTATTTGCAAGGCTGAGACAAACTTTGATATGCAATCTCAGGTACACACAACAGAGTTTTTAAATAGTCTGAGGTGCTCAGGTGTACCAAACCACTCTTTAACATTGAAAATTGGAACTCCAGTTATGCTGTTGAGAAATATTGATCACTCGATGGGGTTGTGCAATGGTACTCGGTTAATAGTAACACAATTGGGAAATCATGTTATTGAGGGGAAAATCATAGCTGGCAATAACGCAGGTACAAAGGTTCTGATACCCAGACTATCTTTGACTCCTTCGGACCCAAGACTTCCTTTCAAGTTTCAAAGAAAGCAATTCCCGCTTATGTTATCATATGCAATGACAATCAACAAAAGTCAAGGTCAGACGCTTTCACATGTGGGTTTGATATTGAAAAAACCTGTTTTTAATCATGGCCAATTATATGTTGCAGTATCTCGAGTCAGTAATCCGGATGGTCTTAAGGTCTTAATTTGTGGGGAATCTAGAGGTCTTATAAACAAGACCCAAAATGTAGTTTATAAAGAAATCTTTAATAATTTGTAATTGTTTAGTTTACTTATCAATAAAATATTATATTTTCTGTATTTCTCACTTCTATAACCTTATTCAACCTATATAATGAATAAAACAATTTTGATGATATTTCAACATAATAATAGGACCGTGCATCGCACGGGTGCAACTACTAGTTATGTTACTAATAGGCATGGGAATCATTCCAAATGAAAAAAAGGATTTAATATTAAAATTTTATTGGAAATATAACACAATTTTCCCTACAAAAAAAAATTAGTAACCACCAAATGAAATATTAGGAAAAAATTATGAAGGAAAAAGAAATGGAAACAAATATTAACTCTTTCTATGAATGAAAAAGGAAATGAATATATCCATATTTCACTTAAAATATAATCAGTAATTATATTATTATAATTATATTAATTATTTATGAAGGAAAAAGGAAATGAATATGAACAGAAAAAATGAATTTTACTCACGAGAATCTATTATTAATATTTTGTTACTAATAGACACAGGAATCAAGCCAAATGAAAAAAGATTTAATATTAAAAATTTATTGGAAATATAACACCGTTTTCCCTACGAAAAATTAGTAAACCACATGAAATATTAGGAAAAAATTATGAAGGAAAAAGAAATGGAAATGAATATTAACTCTTTCTATGAGTGAAAAAGGAAATGAATATACTCATATTTCATTTAAAATATAATCAGTAATTATATGATTATAATTATTATACTTATATTAATTATTTATGAAGGAAAAATGAAATGAATATATTATATTTTATTAGAAATATAATCAGTAATTATATTTTTATAATTATATTATTTTTTAATCAGAAAGGAAATGAATATTTCAAACAGAAATCCGTTATTAATATCCTAATCGACATGGAAATCAGACCAATTAATCGACAATTATTAGGAAAAATGAATAGAAATAAATTTTAATTCTTTTTATGAAGGAAAAAAAAAAGAAATGAATATACTCAAAAGGAAATGAAATATTAAGAAAAACGAATGAATATGTTTATATTTACTGAAAAATATACACAACTTTTTAAATTTTTAAATATAAATCTATTAATACAAATTATAATGAATGAAATTATATTATAGAATTTTTATATATACATATTAATAAATATTATGTGTATATACAATGTATTATTTAATTATATAAGGATATGCGTCCGATTAGAGTTTATATTTATTCATACAAAATTTAGAATTTACATTTTTATTGATTTATAAGTACAATTTCTTAGTTATTATTATTAATATTTTTGAAATTATAATATATATGAAATATAATTTGTAATAAATCAATTTAATTTTATAAATTTTTTCTATAAACTTATCTAAATATGTACATGATTAGATATTATACTAACCATACAATATTTTAATTTTAATTTTGTATGTTATGAAAATAGATACTTGACCAAATATATAAAAGTCCAACTATATTATTATATTGTACATTTTAAAATCTTTTTATTTGTCTAATTTAATTTTAAATTCATAATAACAAAAAAAATTCTCGAGTAAAACACTATATTTTACAAAATACAATTTGATAAATATAATAAATTAATTAATACAATATAATTTATGTTTATAATAATTAAAGAAAAAAATAAATAATTCAAATATGTGAACCAATAATTTCAAAATGAAATTAATATATAGTTACAAATAAATATAGCATGATTACATTTACTTTAATTAGTTTTAATTCCATTAATGATATGACTTTTCTTTATCAGTTGTTTATGGGAGGCTAAGGGAGTGTTGAGTTGGTGGAATTTTTATTATTTTTAAATACTTACTAATAAAAATAATTTTAAAATATTTTGTAGCCCCTCATACCATTTGTAAATCTTATATTTTTTAAACAATACAATTTGATAAATATCATAAATTAATTAGTACAATATCATTTCTGTTTATAAATTATAATAATTAAAAACAAATTCAAATATGTGAACCAATGATTTCAAAATGAAATTAATATACAGTTACAAATAAATATAGTATGATTAGATTTACTTTAATTAATTTTAATTTCCTTAATGAAATGACATTTCTTTGTCAGTTTTTTTTTATGGGAGGCTAAGGGAGTGTTTGGATTGTTGAAAAATATTTTAAATAAAAATACATACAAATAAAAAATAATTTAAAATATTTTTTAACCCTCATAACATGTGTAAATGTTATATATTTTTAATAATACAATTTGGTAAATATCAAATTTTGTGTTTATAATAGTTAAAGAAAAAAATAAATAATTGAAAAATGTGAACCAATGATTTCAAAATGAAATTAATATACAGTTGCTAATAAATATAGCATGATTAGATTTACTTTAATTAGTTTTAATTTTCTTAATGAAATGACTTTTCTTTATCAATTTTTTTATGGGAGCCTAAGGGAGTGTTTATCCTGCTGGAAAATATTTTAAAATAAAAATACATGCTAATAAAAAATAATTTGAAATTTTTTTAACACCTCATAACATGTGTAAATGTTATATAAATACAATTTGATAAATATCATAATTTTTGTTTATAATAGTTAAAGAAAAAAATAAATAATTCAAAGATGTGGACCAATGATTTCAAAATGAAATTAATATACAGTTACAAATAAATATAACATGATTATATTTACTTTAATTAGTTTTAATTTTCTTAATGAAATAACTTTTATTTTTCAGTTTTTTATTAGAGACTAAGGGAGTGTTTGGGTTGCTGGAAAATATTTTAGAAATAAAAATACTTACTAATAAAAATAATTTTAAAATATTTTTAATTCCTAAACATGAGAAAATTTTACATTTAAAAAAAAATACAATTTGATAAATATTATAAATTAATTATTGCAATATCATTTATGTTTACAACGAGAATAATTAAAGAAAAAAAATAAATCAAATATGTGAACCAATGATTTCAAAATGAAATTAATATAATATGATTAGATAAAGTGACTAATGCCCCTCTTTTGGGTGAAAGGGCTGGCCTGGAGATTTAAAGTTGCTCAATTCACAAAGGCAATGATCAAATCCTTGCCTTTGGTTAATAAGGATGGATACGTCCCTTCCACTCAACCACACCCTCCAAGTTCTTAGTGAAATGACTTTAATAAAAGTAAAATCCTCCTTTACAACATCCCAACCCAAATTAATATGAATATTAATTAATTAGTAAAAAATAATAAAGCTTAATTGGTAACAAAATTTATATAAAAAATTAACTAATATCTAATGAATTGTTACCACAGATTAAAGTCAATATGTATATAAAAATAAAAATGGTTACCAAATTATGAGAATAATTAAATTATTATAATTATAAAAATAATGGATACAAATTCTACGTAACAAATGAGAAAATTCGTTTGAAATTCTGCGTAATTTTATAAACAAATAATAATTTATTAATTATTATTTACACCAATTTATACTATTAATAAAAGTAAAATTATCATCTTCAACATTCCGCCCAATGAATATGAATATTAATTAATTGGTAAAAAAAAATTAATAAAGCTTAATTGGTAACAAAATTTTATATGAAAATTAACTAATATCTAATGAATTTTTATCACACACATTGAAGTCAATGTGTACTTAAAAATGGATGATGGTTATCAAATGCTGAGAATAATTAAACCATTATAATTGTGAGAATAATGGAAACAAATTCTGCGTAATAAATGAGAAAATTCATTTGAAATTATATGTAATTTTATAAGAAAATAATAATTTATTAATTATTATTTACACCAATCTATATTTATACTATTAATAAAAGTAAAATCTTCAATTAAAATGTCTTTCGCCCTTCTGATACGAGATTGTCATTCAAGTTCTAACGAAAACAATTCACGTTGATGCTCGCATATGCCATGACTATCAACAAAAGTCAGGGTCAAACACTAACTCACGTTGAGTTATTACTAAACAACTCGTCTTTAATCACAGTTTATTGTATGTGAATTTTTCCCGAGTCATCCATCCTGATGGTCTGATAGTTTTAACTCTAGACGAGGATGGATAAAATTCTGTTACTACTACCAATGTTGTCTACAAAGAGATTTTCAATAATGTATAATTCAAGTTATTGATATTATGGTTTTTTATATACAAAGATGACAAAATTGCTATATATCTACATAGAAAATATATCTTCCGTATAAATAATTTCTA